TATTTATTTAACAATTCGTCTAATATTCTACCCTTTAATACATCTCAAGTAGTTTTATTGTTTAAATATTATATCATACTCCTGTAAATAATTTATCTTTCCATTAACAGTTGCATCAATCAATACTTTCAAAGAACTATTGAATTTAACATTGAACGCCATATACTTCATTTTATAAGTTGAGTAACAAATGGGTTGTGTTAATGTACCGTATCTTTCAAAAGGAATAAACAATGTATTAAACTTTTCAATTTGTTCTGTTAAATACTTTGTGTCGTTGAGTGTAAAATTTAACCTTAAAAAACAGATAGACCATTTTGGACTTTGGCATTTAACTCAATTGTAGCTTTTTAAAACTGTCCAAAATGAACAAACATATCAAAATAGAAGTCGTCCACATTTCTTTGCGGATCGTCCTCGTATAAGATAACACTGTAACATGTATACTCTTTGAATTTGTATCTAAGTTTGAAATGTTATGTGTGTAAAAATCACTATTTTGCTTGCGGGCAGAATTAAAGACTTCTATGGTCACTACAATATTTTCATAACCAATTTTTGAAATATCAAACCTGATATGAGAAAAGTTCTTAACAATGTAAAATATTTTGAACCACTTACCAAATCGATATTTTTTTATAAAAACAAAAAACAGTGTCAATGTCATTTGAATTATTTTAGTCAAAAACAAAATTTTCACTAATTTGTATTTTAGTGATAAACTCTTTTAAATGCAACAGAGAGTCTTTCAATATTAAAGAATAAAATGTAACTCATTTTGAATTTTTTTAATATATTTGATTTCATTTTTAAGTTTGTATTATACCATTCACGATTCATACAAGAGTTGTATGATTTTTATAATAAATTTTAAGGGTGATCATTTTACCCACAAACACAAATAATATTATTATTATCATTTAAAATTATATTATTATAAATTGAATATGATATAAATATTAACTTGTATTATATTCATTTTCCCACACTTGCATTTTTATTATTATCAACGTTTGTACTTTCGTCAAACGTTTAATTTCAGATTCTCTAAACACAAACAGGTAATACAATGTCTTTCGAATTTTGACATCTTTTAAAACTATCATTTACAATTATTCCAAATTTATTTCTCAATTCAACACGACTCAATTATTTACATACATAAACACGAACATGCCAAGCCTTGTCTCTTTTTTGGTGTATAACTACGTCTCTTATCGATTTGCAGTGACAAAATGTTAAATTTCAAATTATAAACACATCACTTGGAATTTTTGTACTGAGCAATTTACACCACTTAGAAAAGCACTTGTTTATTATTAAAGTGGCACTTTGTGGTATATTAACAATTGAATAAGTTTCACATTTTGAAAAGCACTATCTGCTAATTGGAATAACTGAAATTGGAATATTTATTTCTCTAAACATGACACACCCATTAAAACAAATTTTTCCAACTTGCGTCACACTCTTCGGTATTGTAAATTTTTAAGTTCAATACAATGTGCAAATACACTTTATTGTAAATTATATATTGTGTTTTTTGAAAGTTGAATAACAGTTGGTCATGTGTAATTGTAAAAACCGACTTGCCTTTGAAATATATAGTATTTGACATTTATATTGTCAAAATTAACTTTGAACTTAAAGACCTTTTTACATATACAAAGACTGTTAAAGGATAACTCATTGATTTAATGGCACCATTTTGAAAATAGCGTTTCTTCTAATTCACTGACATTTTGTAAAATTTCTATTGTTCGAATTATTTTGAAAAATATTTGGTTTGTGTAAGTTAATACCAAACTTTCAAATGACAAATAAGAGACAGCACTTACATTAATGTAATCAGTGAATGACGATTCGAACCAAATGTTAATTTGAAAAAAAAAATATAGTATGTCGAAGGAATTGTATTGTGAAAATGTTGTTTTCATGATTTGGAAACAACATCAACGTCCTATTAGTTTAAAGTATCATCGTGTAAAACCCATCAATTAGACTCATCACTTTAAATTCTTAAATTAAATTTGTTGGGTTTTAACAAATTTAAACAACTGGATTTTAAAAAAGAGTATCTTTAATTAAAACTCAAATATGTTCTAATGTTGCGTATTTTTAATTTATTTAATCGTTATTTGATTTTGGTTTTATTTATCATGTTTTTATTATTATTTTTAATTAAAATCTTGTGTTCCGAAATATACCTTTACGATCTCGGGCACAAAATTTTAAATTAAAAGAAATTTTGTAAATTAATCAATCAATAAATTGTTGTAAAAAATAAGCATTGATATAAATTAAAAAATATAGCAAAAAACAGTTCCGATAATTTGATACGTCAGACTTTGTATTCGTAGTTTATTTAAATATAGAAAAAGTTGTTGATTATATTATAAATTGTGATTTATCTTCTAAAAGCAGTGAAGAAGGTGGTGAAAGTTGGGAAAGAGTTTCAACTGGAATATAACTTGCCATTTAATTAGATTCAGTCTTTTAACGTTATTTGGTGGACAAAAAATAGCTTTAATTTTGTCTAAAAATTGGGCATTAGGTAAAGAGTGAAAAAACTTGAAACAATTGGATGAGTTTTTGGGATGTCTTCCCGAAATATTACAATCTTTATGGTCCAAAAGGTACCAGATAACGTTTAAAGACTGACTGTATAATAATTTCAATATTATTTTTATTTTATAATAAACATGTCATTAGATATTATATTGATATTTTAATCAATAAATCGCCAAAAAGAATTAAAAAAAACTAAATTCGAAGGTTTAATATTGGATAAGAAAAAAAATAACAAGATTGTTTATAAATAAATGACTTGATAGTCCATTTTGATCAACTGACCACTGAGAAAAAGAAAGATATAATTTTTGACTTAAATGCCAAATAAGATCAATGAGTTGAATGCCGAAGTCAACATGTTGAAAAACAAGTTGACAATACAAATTATGACAATGATAGAATTAAAGTAATGAAACAATAATACTAAGACTATATGTTAAAAATTTAAACTGAACTTGATCAACATAAAAAGACCACGCAAAACTCCAATTAATCAAAAGAAAATATAAGAAATTTGTTTTTATTATAACGGTATGAAATAAAAATATTGACTGAAACGTCCAGATATCTCAACAAATTAAGGTCAAGACCATAATTTAAAAAATTGTTCTTTAAATATGGGTTTTTTCTCCAATGCACCACAGCTTCCCCTTCAACAACATTAGTATAGTATGTTCGCAACATTTATCACACTCTCTCCTGTTGCACCAGCATTCAAAATAGTGTGGATTTAATAAATAACAGAATTATAAAAATCTTCGACTCTTTCACTTATTTCAAAACATCCCCTGGTAACTATTTTGAAGGACTCCTCTGCTCTCTGTATTGCCACTAGCTATCAGTGCACCCACATTAAGTACAACGA